TGTTTCCCTTACCCTCACTTACCCAAATCTCCCTTCAGTATATAAAACTTGAAATGCTCTGGCTGATAAATTTGTTATGTACTTAGAATTGCATGTCTTATTTTTGCAATTTCAGTACTTTCATAGAAGGGCTTGGATTGGAAGGGACCTCAAAGATTATCTAGTTCCAACCCCCTGTCATAGGCAGGGACACCCACTAGATCAGGTTGCCCAGGGGCCTCATCCAGCCTGGCCTTGAACACCTCCAGGGATGGGGCATCCACAGCTTCTCTGGACAACCTCTGCCAGGGCCTCACCACCCTCTGAGTGAAGAATTTCCTCCTAGCCCTTAATCTAAATCTCCCCTCTTTTAGTTTAAATCCATTCCCCCTTGTCTTATTATCAGACTGAGCAGAGTTATTCCCCATCTTTTGTAAGTCCCCTTCAAGTACTGAAAGGTTGCAATAAGGTCCCCCAGACTCTTCTCTTCTGTAGGCTGGACAGCCCCAGCTCTCAGCCTTTCTACGTAGGAGAGAACTGCTTGGTCTTTGCTGTATTTAATCTTTCATTCAAAAAATACAACTAATCTTTCAGTAAGGAACTTTAATCTGTAACAGAGCTCAAAATCAAGCCTGAAAGAAGGGTTTTAGGGCAGACAGTGGAAACTAGGCCAGCCCATTACCTTCCATTCTCAGGAAACTACCTCATCACATTTGATATTAATTACTGGTTTTAATCATATGCAACAGGTATGTACAGTATCTTTTATGAAGACCTCAATTTCTTTCTGTGATCTTGTAATTACTATTGTTAGCTCCCTAGTGTGTAATAGTGTATTTGCCCATTTATTGGTGAAATCCCTAACCGTTCTTGATGACAGTTAACTTTCCTCGTACAACAACATTTGGCACCTCACGTAAAGTTACTTCGTCTTTGACTCCGCTGCTAGCGCGGCCTCTTCCCGCCACTTGGCCTTCTTTGCCAAATTCAAGCTTGTTAAGGACTCATGACGTGCAGCAGCCTGCAGAAGGAAAGCACCTCCTTAAGAGTAATGTTGTGAATAACATCACCTGGGGAATGCTATCAGATCTCGGGAACCACCACCCACTTACTGCTTTATTTCCAGGGTAACAGGAACATTACCTGAGATTATGGCAGCTGTAAGTTGCTGCTCTTTGAATTTTCTCCATTAATTTCTCTCTGAATTACATCATTTCTAAATATGCTACAGATTAGCTAGCTAGCAATGTACTCACCTTCTTTGCTGAAGCAATTACTGCAAAACAGGCAACAATGGAAAGGCCAATCATGATGTAACAAGCTTTAACTCGAGCTTTGTTCCTTGCCCTGTCTAGCATCTCTGGCCTGCAATTGAAGTTTTTGAGTTGAATCATTAAAAAAAAAAAAAAGCATCTCTCAAGACATCACAAACATCACCACTACAGAGTAAAAAATAAAGTAGCTTGTAAAGCAAGCATCTTTAGATTGCTATAATGTTTAGTTTTGTGCTACCCAAGAGCTTTGTATTTTGTGACCCTAATCCATTTCCAATAGAAAAACAATATTTAGTGCATTTAGGAACATTTTGAGCTAGGAAAAAAATGTTTATTGGTGTAGTATTTGCACTTAAATACTTGGGCTAATTGTACCAGAAATCCCACCTGAAGTTCTATATAAACATAGTGAAATGGGGGGAAGGTTATCTATTTTAATCTGATAGAAGAATACATGTATGTGTGGTGTTAACAAGAAATGATGGAAGCAAGTTCCATGATTATTCAAAATAATCTTTATAAATAAATTGCTGTCATACCTAACCTGATAAGATGTCATCCTGTACACTGTAGGTTAGGGACTTCACGTGCTTAGATATGTGATTACAACAGCCTGTGTTGCTCTGAGCTAGAACTTTTAGTCAGTTCTTTAAAAAAGCCGCAGCTTTATTGTTTAAAGTTGGCAGCTGATGTCAGCCTGCTTGCTATTACAAGAACGCATACCTAAAGATTAATTTTCCTCATCATCAAAGGCAAAAGTAATGAAATCTGCCCTTGCTTTTGGCTGTAGTTGCTGTCAGAGAGGCATTCTGCAGCCCAGCAAGCTCTGTTGGTGCAGCTCCCACTCACACAGTTTTTGGTTCCGAGAAGGAGGCTGCGTGCTGCTGAGCACCAGGAGTGCGGGACGTCTCCGTATCACTACGGTCCTCACAAGGCTTTCAGCTAAGCCATCTCCTGAGCCAGGTGTTATACTTGGGAGTACTGTTTTTAGGATGTTCCATTATAATACTGGCTACTGTGCACAATTTTCTTTTCATATTTTCTTAAATTGACTTTATGTATGCACACATATATCCATTACTTCTCTCGAAGGCTTAATGGAATGGTGGAGGGCAAGTCATGAGCAGCTATGCCACACTACCCCCATGCCCAACAACACACACACATGTTGTGTGTGGCAGGTTTCTTGTTGATAGCTGACAGCGCCTGAGGTTTTAAGTCACTGCTTCTGTGGTGTACAGTGGTAAACACAACCTCTTTAAAACAAACCGCACCACAGATCAGTGCATAAAACCATTAATCTAGGATCCATTTGTAAGAACAAAAGCAAAACTGCAAATGTTATTAGTCTGGCTTATTAACCTAATCATATTTTGTAGTACACTAATTGAAAATCTTCTGAAGCAGATTTTCACTTTCTCCTTGCTTTCTGCCTCTGCTTTAAGGAAAGCAGACCTTATTATCATCTCTAATTGCACATTAGGGCCTGTGTTACTCAACCCTTCATCGAGACTCTGGTTAAACCTGTGAATTCATAACAGCCCTTTGCTGTTTTTTTAAACATTTTGACCAAGGGCTGCAGATTTGAGCCTTAGTACAAAATATCTTCAGCGGCTAGATTTTGTTTAAAGGTAACAGTATCTTGCAATTCTTTATTGACAGTTAAAGCAGTGACACTGTTCAGCTTCAATGTCATAAAATTAGCTTCATTTAGCATATTATGATGATTTCTAAAAAGACATCGCTTGTGCAGAAAACAGAAAGTGGTGACACACCTGTGAGGCCAGAAGCAAGTTGTTTGCATGCGTGTGGATCAGCAGAGGCACGTGTCTTTACAAACACCTCTCCACTATTTCAATTGTCCAACCACTCAAAGCTTTTATAGCTGCCTGAACCTTTCCCTAAGGGAAGGCTGTGGGATAAACATGGAGCAAGAGATGTCAGACCCTCTAGAAAGCTGCTGCCCAGCTTGGGAAACAGCAGCATTGCAGTCGGGAACAAACAGTAAGAGGAGCAGCTAGAGGATGCACTTGCTGTGCGTGGCTCTGTATGCTGCTTGTGCTGAACCTACCACCCTAGGAGGGACATACTGTGATGACAAAAAGCCATGTCCCGGAGAGAGACACCATGGCAAGACACCACAGCCTAAGAAAAAGGCAGCAGTTGGCATTGCAGGGGTTTCATACCTTCCCTTGGGGAACAGTAACTTCCACCAAGTTGAGGTGAGAAGCAGGTCAATGCAAGGCTAAGACCATGTCAAGTACTTGGCTTTCCTTGATTTGCCTTGGGGAGGAAGAGATGTTTTTCTCATAACCTTTGTATCTATTTTTTTTTCCATCAAATTCTTCTTCAAGCAATAATAAATTCTAATTTGGTTGATGTAATCATTCTGGGACTGTCAGCTCCCTTAGAGCCTTTATGGGAGCTATAAACAGAACACAGTTTACTAACAACTTCCTTCTCTGGTTACACATTAGGAATAAACAAAATAAACAAGCCATTTTATATACACACACACACACATTATCTGCATAAACATACATGTGCACACAAACACACACATATATATATGACCAAGGCTATCTACCCATGACCCAATTCTTAAGCATAGGCTATGAGGTCTCCAGTAAGGGATTCTTTTTCTTTCTAACCTATAACCTGCACAGGAAACTCTTCTTCCCTCTAATTTGTCTCAAAGCTTTTGGTATTGGAGCTGCTGGCTGGTTCAAACCCCTCGGAAAAGCTTCAGCTCAGGCACACCCCACCTCTTTCCCTTCGGCTCAGCGGGACCGTGCCAGGACACTTACGGGATCCTTGGAGGAATCTCTTCTTCCGTCTTGAAGCGGCCGGTCCAGAGGAGGATTTTTCTGTCGAACTTGGAGGGTTTGTAACTCGCAACCACCTTGTGAGCCTGCTCAGCTTGGAGATGAGAAACAAACAGCCCATGGCACCGAGTGAGCCCGCCAAGGGTGGGGTGGGAAGGGAACCCCCTCTTCCAGCCCATTCTGGTCGCTGGGGGACTCAGCCCCCCGCGGGCACCCCTGGGGCTCTCCCCCTCCCTCCCACCTCACCTCTGGCCACCTGGGCCAGGAGGCGAAGAGAGGCGAAGAAGCCCCGAGCTGCCTCGCCCCGCACCGTCCCCATCCCGCCTGGGAGCCCCGGTCTGACCCCGGCCCCCCGCAGCCCCCCTGCCCTTACCGCGGCCGGCTCCGGGTCCCCGGGCGGGCCCCCCTCCGGTGGCGGCCGGGCGGCTCGGCGGGGCTGGCAGCAGCCGCCTGGGGCGGAGGCACGGCGGGAGCATGGCCAGGCCTGGCTCTGCACGGCGGGCACTGACACCGACACGGACACCGACACGGCCCGGGCTCCGCCTTGAGGGGCCGCCGGGGAAGCCGTCCCCCGAGGGGGGCCGCGGGCAGCCCGCTGCGAGGGGCGGCCCCTCGGGCCTCGAAGCCGGCCCCGAGAAGCCGCCTCTCGCCTCGCCTCGCCTCGCCTCGCCCGGCGCTGCCCTGCAAGCGTCGAGATGGAAACCACGCGAAAAGGGGGCCTCGGCGCAGGGTGGGCCCGGGTCCCTCAACACCGACCTGCGCCCATCACTGCCCCCGGGGGTCCCAGCACTGCCCCCGGGGGTCCCAGACCCCACACGACAAGCTCTAGTGCTTATTTCAGTTGGAAAAGGGGGTTTTGGTGCTGCGTTGTTTTGTCTGGGGGACTGGTTATGCATGTATTTGCTTTCAAGTCTTGGTCGGAGTTAACCTTTATTTCAAATAAAGACCATAAATATCATCGGGGAAAATAAACAAGCAAAGAACCGCAACAAAAACTAAGAGAAAGACAAAAAGTCAGTATAGAACTGAAGGCACGAGTCTGAAGCCTTGCATCGTTGGCAAGCCAGAACTTTGTTCCCTGTTTCCAGCAACAGAGCCTGAGGTAGACAGCTCTTTCTGAAAGCAACTTGTTGAGTAGAGAAAATCACAAGCTTTTTCATTCGAACGGGTTCTAGCATTGTTGATATTAATTTATATATATACATATATATCTTTTGAACAACATTTCATTCTGGAAAAACATTCAAGAAAACTATTTTTTTATATTATTATTATTCAGTAAATAGTCCCATGTTGATATTTTCTTACTCACACGTAGTTTGCATTCTGAAATCATCAGAATAACAAAATGTCCTTATTATTGGAAAACCATCAAAGCCATTCCAATAGCTAATACCAAATAATAATAATAAAAAAAAATCCTCCCACATTTTATTTCGGAATTGAATTTCTTCCTGAAAACGAGCCATTATACATACAGAAAAACACATTTCTTTGAGCCCTGTATAAAAGCCACACTCTGTCTTTCTCTTGTCTATGAAAAATACTGGTGATGAAGAACAAGTGCCTCTCTGCACACACACAGAGCAGCTCTGCCTTGATTCAGAATGTCCTGAGGGAGACAGAGGAGCACCAAAAGAAACAACCTAGAGGATAAGACCAGGGTTATAGTCTGCCTTTAGCTCTTCTTCCAGCTCAGAGAGGCATAGCATCATTCCTTGCTCCTGGAGACCCAGCTGGAAAGGGTGGGAAGATCCAGAATGGCTGGGGTGGGTCTGCTCAGCTCCACACACTGTGAGCAGCATCCCAGATCCTGCCCTTAGCCACTAGTAATGCTGGCACCCTGTGCTTTCACTCACTGCTGTTCCAGCTGCAGTTGGCACAAGTGTAGGGAGGAAGCCCAGAGCTCAGGTAAGCAGTTCACAGCTGTTGCCAAAGGACATCAGAGCACAGAGTGGTGCCAAAGATGAGGGACACCTGTGCTCCTGACATCTTCTTCTGCTGACATTGCTGCAGACATCTTCAGGGAACTGTGCCCTGGAGGAGAGGGCTTGAAGAAATTGGTGACCTTCACAGTCTTCATTCTCTCTAAGGATGTTGCACAGTTTCTGATACTGGCTTTAGAGGGCATTCATTATTATTACAAGAAATAACATAAAACCATAAATGTTTGAATAGAGCAGCCTCCCACAGACCTCAACAAATAGCATTTCTATGCTTGACTTCTCTGGACGGCACTGTGTTTGGGGTCCATGTGTCCTCTCTATCACTTTCAGAAATGAAAAACACGAAGATGGACACGTTAACACTCTGACCATTTGTGTTGGGTTCTTTTCAAAGTAAGAAATCAGAGTGTGCCCTGAGCCAAAAAGAAGAGCAAACCTCTTCAGCCTACGCAGTCCGACCAATACAGACATTTAAAAACATACACAACACAGCTTGGTATCTCTCTCCCTCTCTCTTTTCCCTGCCAAGGCTAGCTAGTAAATCTGTTACATCCTCTCATCTAGATCTCATTGATTGTGCTTTACAGAGAAGATATGAGTAGCTGGAGAGGCAGACATAGCACACAGAAGTCATTAACAGAGGAGATTTGGTGGCACTACTGAAGTGGAGAAGTTTGTATGCAGTGGAGAGCTTCCTAGGAGAGGAGGAGGCATGGGATGTATTTAAAACTAGATCAGTAAGAAGAACAAAAACTTTTCTTTTATTTTTTTTTCCTTTCATGCTTGTTATTTTATGTTCTTCCCTTGGAATTCTGCCCCATGTGATGCCCTTCCTTAAAGATCACCTTTATAGACACCTTCATAGTGCTGTCATAGCTCTCCCAAGGCACTTTCCTCTATGTCCTGCAGGGGGAATCGTCCTCCCATGCTTGGCTGCCAACCTGAAGGACACTTGTAAAAAGCTCACAGATCTGCCAGGTGGAAGCACTGCGCAGGTAGGTGTGTTGCTGCAGTTCAAGGCCAACCCAAAGTTCATAGGGAGAGGTAAGGAAATTAAATAAACAAGCTCAATTTTAAATAACAACATGGCTTTAATCATCCTGTTGTTCGAGACATGACATGCTCACCACTTTTGAGAACAATAAATACACGTACAACATTCTAGCCAAATTAGCTTTTCTAACCAGCTTAGCACTGAAAGTCACTGTGTGGTGTAAGCTTCATTTTCCTCTTTGAGGGAAAGACATTTTGCTGCACTGGCAGCCAAACTGTAGGAACTTTAACCTTAATCATACATAGTTTCGTATACCAAACAGTACTCATAACAACTGATGCATAAACAGCATTTATCACATAAATGTATGTGCATAAACCTTCATTCTTCTAATCAGCTACAGAAATTACATAACTGCTGAAATTTATATGTAAATTGGACCCTTGCCATTTAAATTACTTTAAAATGTCTTCACAGATGCATACAACAATATGCTGACATCAAATAATTTCATTACCTGTGTCCATTGCTGAAATGTGATCCATAGATATTTTTAACAGAATCTTAGGAAAATCATATAGACATGGGTTGCAACATATAAACAGAAATGATAGAAAAACAGATATATTGTAGAAAACATTTTATGTCTGTGCGACATCAAGTCTACTGAACTTCATTCTGGCTTGCCAGAGTGTCCAATTATTCCTGATCTAAACAAATGGACAAAACTGAAGAAGTTAGCATTCTTTCCCAGTAACATGCATAGAACTTAAAACTGCAAACCATGATTTCTCTGGTCCAGGCTAGGGGCTTTATGAACACAGACAAGAGCTTCCCAGTCCCAGACTGGCACCACTGCTCTGCTGTTTAGTGTTTGAGGAATCCTTCCAGCCTGGCTGAGGAAGGGAAAGCCGTGGCCTTCTCAGCATGAGAAAGGCTTTGCCAGTCTTTGCCTTAGAGAGGCAGAACAGTTGTCCACTGAAAAATTCCTCCTTCTTGGAGTGTACCACTCGCACAGAAGGTGCTGCATACCTGTAGTCATGGAGCCTCAGAGACTCTGCCAGTGCAGTTGACAGCAGTTCATTCCTGCATGATTTTGACGTATTGGAATAGTGCATTACTGTGTTCTTGTTGAAAATCAGATTTTTTTTAACACGTATGAAAGAAACTAAAATTCCCAGGATGCATTCATGTTGATTCTGGTCATTACATTATTCATGTTAAATTGATGTTCATAAGTTTTGAACTAATAGCACACCTGGGGACATGCATAACAGGTCCTCTCTCTGCACAAGTCACAGGAGTTGCATGAGATGAATCAATGTGTCTCCTCTTAGTATGGGTAAAAAGCAGATGAACACACATTTAACTAGAGAGCACCAGAGAAATCCTTCAATTTATATAGACCTATCTCTAGCTCATTTTCACCCTGGTAAATACACGGAATTTTGAAAGTTGCTGTAGCACACATCTGGAATAAGGCATGTAATTTTGGGCAGAGATTTATTTATTTAAAGAAAAAGGATTCACATGTACCAAATGAAAATGGTTACTCTTGGATGTTCATAAGAATGGAAAGCTTATCTTAAAAGTGGAGATTAAAGGACTGAGCTTGTTTATCCTAGCAAAACAAAAGCTAGGAGGGAGCTCTGTTTGATCTGTAAAACAGACCTGGGTGAGAAGAAAACCTCCTTAAGCAACTGGGCAGCAAAGACATAAGAAAAAGTGGTGTAAGCCCATATGTTCATGCCTATTTTTCTGTGAGAAGTAAAACCTTCCTAACACTTCTGCCTGGCTTAGAGGGCCTGTGGGTTGGGAGTGGGACGGGGAAAAGGAGGGAGATGCTGGACCCTGTGACCAGGCAAAGCCTTTCAAGCTTATCAATGAGTAACTGCTAAAGTGCTGGAGGCATTTCGGGTGGTCTGTTCTCCTTGGGGAGTACCGAAAGGAGAGAGACCTGAAAAAGGAATGGCTCACTAAAATAGCTTTTCATCTTCCAGTATTTCAGCGCTGACCAGTCATATGCTGGACAGTCTTTTCCTGGACACACGTCTTATTGCACTTTTAGGAAGAATTTTCTCTTTTATTTGCTTCTGCCCAGGCACTTGAAAGTGGCAGTTTCCATTTGCAGAGTTTTTCTCAGCTTTACAGGAGCCTGAGACAGTAGCTTGGGAACCGGAAGACTTTGAATCCAAGGAAATCTGGCTAACAGCAACGCTGCCTGCGCTCTTGGAAGAGTACGTGTAAATCATCTTGAGAAAGGCAGACTTCGTGTTTGTTTCTTGCTTGTAAATTATGATATAGCACTTAGGAAGAAACGTACAACAGAGAATCCCATAATTGGATATTAAAACAACAATGATTTCCACTGCTGGCAGGTATTTGCCAAACGTAGTTGCATAGACAGGGATAAATACAATCCATGCTATAAAGTAGATTAGCATGCCAAAGGTTATGAACTTAGCTTCGTTGTAGTTCTCTGGTAACTTCCTGCCTTTAAAGGCAAATATGAAGCAGATGAAGGCTAGAGCAGCTATGTAGCCCAGCATAATCCCAAAAGCTACAACAGAGCCCTCATTACACTCCAGAATTATTGATCCTGGAATTGAGAAATTTTGCATTACAAAAGGCGTCCTAAATACTAGCCAGCAGGTGCAAATGATAACTTGAATCCCAGTGCAGATGACCACAATGGGAATAGGTTTATATGCACATTTCAGGATATTCTGCAGCTTGGGATCAAAACTAAAGGCTAGTAAAATTTTTAGCGACTTTATTAAAATACATGAAACGCAAAGTGCAAAGCTTATGCCAAAGAGGGATTGCCTAGTTTTGCATTTGAGTTCTGTGGGTTCACCTATGAAGAAGACGGTGCTTAAAAAAATGCAGAAGTGGCTGAGGAGGATAACATAGCAGACAGTTAAACCTCCGGATGCCTTTACAACCGGAGTGTTCAAGTTTTTAGTAAATATGACACTGATGGAGAAAATCAGCACAACCCCAAAACTGGAGAGGAAGAGCAGGAAAATAGCAAACCAGTCAGTCCAGCTGAGGAACTGGATCGTCTTCCTGTAGCACGTAGTACTGTTCACAGGAGCCCAGTAGGTTTTGTTGTGGCACCGGTAGCAGTAATCCATATCTGAAAGCAGAAAAAAGGAAGATAAATTCGGAACCCCCAGTAAATCTAATGGCTCTGGCTGCTGATGACACAGTCCTGGCAGAGGAGCTGGGGCCCCGGGGAGCCAGCACTGTAAAGACACAGTGAAACCAGAGTGGTAGTTTGGGATTGAATTGGTTGTCCACCCAGAAAGGAACTGTGTTTCTTTCATCCACCTAGTCTTACAAGAAAAAAAAACTTTCTCTTAGAGATTTTTTGAAATACAACAGCAAGAATAAACATTGCTGTAGATTATGCTTTCAAAGAGAGCTTTTTCTGTAAAATTCCTATTGCCCAATAGGGAGAAATTTTGTTATTATTTGAGTAGAAAAGGGGATAAAAAGTAATTTATTTCTGCTAGCTATCAATATTTTTAAAGACACCAAATTTCTTAATTTCGTCTCTCTCCTCTGTATTTGCTCTCTGACTTTTAAAAACCTTACTCACACTACAAATGAACCAGCAGTAAAGTACACATTGGATTTGACACTAGAAAATACTACTGTATGGTCATATCTAACTTCACAGTGCTCCTGTTTAAGATAAAAAAAAAATGTGCCAGCATGCAAAATAGTTAACTTCATATTTCCACTAGGCTGGCTGTCCTGCAGAAAGATATGGAAGCAAGGCTCTATTTTCATATGGTCTCAGAAATGTCAGCCAGACTTTCCATCCAAATCAAGGATAATGCTAGTCAACTGTAAAATCTGATTGTTTAAAGCTTGATCTTCTAAAAATATTTAAACCAAGTTTTATATGTTGAAGAGTGTTCTTCCCTTTCATATTTCTGAAACCAAGCATAAACAAATATTTTAATTTCATTCCAAAATTATACCCAAGGTTGCCAAGGCTCATTATACACAAACCAAAGATTCTATTGATTTCTAAATCAGCCTTTATTTGGATCACAATTCTTTTACCTGTTTGATTGCTGTAATGGTTTTCTGGGCAGTAAACACACTCGTAGCAGCATGTGTGTGGACTTTCTGTAACCTTTTTCATCTGTCCTGGTCTGCAGTGCTGGGAACACGTTGATTGAACCTTCTGCAGTGAGCAGAGAATGAAATATATATCTATCAGCTCAGGTGTTACTAATTACAATGAAGTCTTAAAATAGCCCTCCAATAACACTATGGTTTGAAATCTCTTTTTGTATCTAACATATTGTAAGGGAATCTGAAAATGATGTTGTAAAAAGGCAATGTAGGCAATGTTTCTTGCATTTTCTCCACATGCTCAAGAAGTGACAGGATGGTGCATTATCTACCTGATAATTTTTATTTTATTTTTTTTGGCCCTACTTTAGTGTGATTTTCTATACCTTTAAAAATCCAGATCCAGCTTTGAAACTAGAAGTTAGGCTTCTGGGATCCAGATCCAGAGAAAGCCCAGAAGCCTCTGAGAGGGGAGTCGGGTGGACCACATCACAAATGCGGTCCTGACACCCCGGGACATACACCCCAGCTCTGTGGGTGCATTGAACCACAGCTCTAACATGCCTCACCCTCAGCGGACCACCCCTGAATTTCCAAGCCCCACTCTTAGGTGTGTGATCAGGGCCTTCTCACAAGGCCTGAGTTCCAGTCCTTCTTCCAAAGACAAGTTTTATAAAATGGAGAAGCAGTCCTGAGGGACACTGCTGTTTCTTCTCCCTCCCAGATGGGGCTCACAAACAGATGGAGGCATTTCCTTGCCATCCTGGGCTGTGCCACAAAAAGGGACAAAATGTGAAGTCCTCTTCTATCCTCAGCCTTTCCTGCTGGCTGAGGCTTCACATAAAAACTATATTCATCCCACCCAGTGAACTGCCTTTCCTCTGTCCTATTAGCAGTGAGTGCTTTGCAGCACAGCCACATTCGGTTAGAGCTACACAATAAACCAAAGCCTTCACCCATGCACAGATGACATTACCCAGCTGGAACTGGCTGGGGCCACCCACCAGTCCTGTCTACACCAGTGCCAGGGCTCCAGATGGTGCTGCCTACCTCATACTCTTTCAATTGTGCTGACCCCAGCTCTAACAGGAGTAAATAATCAACAAGACTTTTTTTTTTTTTTTTTTTTCCCAACATTAAAGTCAGCAGATATGAGTCTTCATGTACAAAACAAATGGTTGCCTTATGTAAGAGTGGGTACATTTATAAGTATTTTCCATTTTAAAACCCAATTCAAGATTCTGTAATAGCATCCTTAGGACAGATGTAACTTACGAAACCTCTCAAGAGCATTCTGGAGAAATAACTCAATTTCAAATCACTGAGCCTGCTTACAGGCTCAAGTACTTCTCAAAATACATAATGGTAGTTGAATATATCCAGAGAGGACGCTTCACTCCAAATGGAAAACATGAAAGTACATGAGAGATTTCTAGCTGACACATATTTTAGTTGTGACTAACAGAGGAAGAAAAACACATATGAAGCAAATTTCAGGTGTTATGTCAACAAACTGAAAGTTACCTTTAAGTTCAGAAATTCTTTTTTTTTCTCATCATCCTCAAAGATAAAGTCACCTTTCTCTGTGTCATATTCTGCCATAGTGGTGATTTCCATGCGACCATCAATTTCTTTCCAGAGAAGTACGTCATAACTAGTTCTCATATCTCCTTTGGAATCAAACTTGATTTCTTTATCATCATCGATGACTCTGACTTTTTTGAGTTCTTCAAGGAGCTAAACAGAAGAAGTGATGACATATCAATTTAATTTCAGTGGGATACACTCAATACTTTTAGATATATATGCTAATACCAAATGAAAAAATATATTGCTTTTTAGGAGTGAAAAAAAATCTTAAAAGGGATCTGTATAACTGTTAATCTGACATCCTATACAGATTTACATTATTCTGACAATCCTGTTGACTTAAAAAAAAATACTATTAAGCACAAATAATCACTTCTTAATTCTATGCAATGTCTACAAATACCCATGTTCATATTTTCCTTTCCAGCCTTGGAGGTTTTGGTACAATGTTGGGAAAAAAAAAGATTTTGCCTTCAGGAAACAATGGCCTTTGGGACTTCCCTTCTTGTAAAGAATGACTGTGAATGAAGCTCATGTTGTTACTGTACTGTCAGCAAAGTAGATATGGACAACATTTCCTTCCAGAGTAAGGAAGGAAATTGGCAATCCAGACTTCTTCCCCCAGACTTCCTCCCCCAGGGTCTGGAAATATCTACTTTAGTATTGATTTCACCCGTGACTCTTATACTCTGTATTGCAAGGTGGGACACCAAGTCATGAAATGAACACTAAATGCCAGCTTGCTCAGATGAGGTGGTATGTGGTACAATAGCAACTGGACAGCAAGGCTATATTTGATAAATCACAGGAAATATCAAAGCAAGCACTCTTTGTTAAGACAACTATCCAGCTTAATGTTACAACCCATTCTGTACAGTAGGGTGAAATTTCTCTTTACATTATCACAAACAGCTTTAAAAAGTTCTGTGTGAATCTAGAGAAGAAGAGATTAAGGCTCATATTACCTTCTCCCCATTGACAAGGAGACCTATAAAAAGTCTTTCATTAGCTACTATGGCTCCTAATTAAAGCAAAGGCTTTATCCCTTTGCCGGCTTAACAATTGTTAGTAATAGGGGTTAATTAATGAGAAAAAACTCCAAGGTTTTGGTGAATGGCTGAATGTAACTGCCTTTTGAAAAGCACAATCTTACATAGATCTTTCTGTGATAGTCGTAGCATTTAAAGAAAATGCTGACAAATATATGACTTTAAAAGTCTCTGGCATATATATGTATAAACAAATCTGGCATGTGTTATTTTTTCAGATATAACGTCACTTTTACTGAGAGTTCATACATTCTCACTGCATGTCTATAAATTTATGAAAAACATAAGTGTGCTTTTAAATGATATTTCATTTTAGTAGAACATTGCAAAGTCTTGTGGGATTAAATAGGATTTTTTTATTGTTGTTGTTCTGTATCCTCAGGCTACTCATTTATTTTTTTCTCATCTCCACTTTTTCAATTTCCCTAAAAAACTATGGAAACAATAGAACTTTTGGAATACATCTTGAGCTTCAGACAGGAAAGAGCTAATAACTAGCTACAGTATGATTTAATTTATATTTATTTTTGCACTGTGTTTAATAGCAATAACAGTGCTGTTTCTCTGTATGTGGAGATAAGTGATAAGGATTAGTTGCATCCCTAGCTTTAAGTATGCTGATTTCTGAAGGGTTTTAGTTTAGTGTAGAGAAAATGTATTATGAAAACAGCACAGGGAGAATAACTCTCTTTTGGTTTGCTTCATGAGTTCTAAGCCTCTTAACAGGACTTTTAATTTGGGTAGTTTGGGATTTAACTCAGTAATGACGAATTCAGCATCCCTTGTAGACCAGTCCTGAATTTGTCCCATCTGCATTTACAAATTCATGTAGGAGTTTGATTGTTACTGGGTGGTTTTTTTTGGGGGGGGAGGGGTTGTTTGGTTTTTTTCAAATCTCCTATCTTGGTTTGACCTGCCCTGACCCACGATAAGAGGTCAGAGCAAGTCAGAGTGGTTCAGTAGATGTTTGACTTTTAAATGAACTTTTGTTTAATCCTCTGAGTAAAAGTGTGTAAAAGTGAATACTTCTGAGCAGGTTCTCAGGTAAAAGGTCAGGTCAGGTTTACTTGTCTGAATTTTCCTGTCCTTTTCCCACTCAGTAGAGTCTGATAACAAGTACCTAACCCATCTTAAGAATGGTGCCACATTTTCCTACCAGTCACTTCAATATAAATCAAGATCAGAAAGAAAAATGGTCTGTTGCATTTTCAATTTCAAGTAAAGATTCATTATAGAGGTATATAAGCTGGACATGGACAAACTGGGGACACAGAGGGGGAAATTGAAACTCTTTGGGAAACTTTCCTCTTCTGTGCCATCCCCGTCACTCAAATACCCACTCAGCACTTGTTGCTGAGTGTTACAGTGGTTTGCAGCAACAGGACCAACCTTCAGTAGCAGAACAGATGATAAGTCAGCCATAGATTGACTATAGATTTCTATTATTTCCTGCACAGGTAGCTAGTAAGGTAGCAAGCAAACTACAGACTGGAGCCTTCATCCAAGCTGGTGCCTTCTGTGCATGCCCTTTAAAGGTGATGTGGGAAGAGTTGGGGTAGCTATTGAAGCCCAGGAGCTAACGATCCCATCCACACTAGCGGAGACAGGCATTTCCAGCTGCTGCTGCTGTATCCATTAGGAAGGAGATGGTGGGTGTGAATTGCAATAATTCTTCTCTACCTATAGCAGGACACAGACATAGCTTAGCACCTGGAGCTTCTGTGTCTGCAGGGGCCAAAACAAGGAAGGCAAAGCTGGCTCTCAACACTGCAGCAATTGGCAACTGTTGCTCTGGCAGAAGGATTGTGATTTCAGTTGGCCCATGCAGTGGTGAAGAAAGACAGGAACAGGAATAAAAAGGCATTTAGTACAAGGACCAAGCCAGCAAATCCAGGAATGTGGGAGGAAAAATGATAAGGAAGTTATGTAGAGAGAATGACACCTGAAAGAATTAACATCATACCTCCCAGGGAGTGAAAGCAGAGGGATCCTTGCAGTTTCTGTCTTTGCATTGCCCTTTAATGGCGTGAGCAATGGCATAGACTGCAAGTATAGTACTATGGATAAATCCGGGTTCAATGTTGGCATTCAAAAAGTCATCTCTCCAGATGTGTTGTTTATTCTCAACATTTTGCATCAGGTCATCCTGGGATTGATTTGAAATGCACATTTGAAAATCATAATATTCCAGGTGTGCACAGACTGACAAAAGCATAATATATTCACCTAAAAACTTGTTGTTTTCAGTGGGCTTTTCATGAAGGTTCTTCAGAAAGTCTTGGAATGTGGATATGTCTCCACTCTTAAATCCAAATCCCACAACAGTTCCCAGCTGTCTAATATTGGGCATTGTACTGATTTTCACTGCTGTTGACCAGTTATCACTTGCAATCCAGATTTTATTTACATTTCTCTCAATTGCCTTCTTAAATAGCTTGAGCACGTGGAACTGTCTCATAAAGACTACAATAACATTTACTCTGGTTTCCTTGACAATCTTCTCGACTGCATGATCAACTTTGGTGTGAAAGGTTTTGTCAGAGAGATAGGCAGGCAGCAGTTCTTTAAAAGCTATGCAAACATTGTTTGACATGGCCTGGACCCCAAAGCTCTCCAGAGCAAAGCGCCCATTGTCATCATCAGTGGCTATTACTCCGATCCAATTCCACCCAGACTCACAGATCAGGTGGGCCATTGCTCTAGTCTGGTGGAAATCACTGGGGATAGTCCTGAAGAATGAAGGAAACCGGATTTTGTCACTAAGAATTTCAGCCGACGATGCAGGACTGACCTAAGGAGGAGAGAACAGTTAGGTTATGGAAGAGCTCTTCTCCAAAGGATGCTGAGACACCCAAAGCTGCCACGACTTCTTCATCCCACCTGAGCCGGGGCTCCCTCCTCCCGTGACTGAGCATGACCAAGGTGCACCCAACTGGGGCAGGATTCCTCACCCTGCTGTTAGGATGCAGACCCATACCTGGTACCATTTCCACTCTTTTCATCCTCATGCACCTAATTACTTTGGTGAAGGCAGAGAATAAAACCTTTCAAAATACCTATGACAGGTATGCTAGTATAAGGATTTTGCTTTAATCTGTTGAGATACCATCAGCATGCTGTTCAAGACAACACTTAAAACACTGGAAGTGCTCAAATGTTGTTGGAGTTATTCAAATTTCTAGTACACTTACATTTTGCAGTATTTTTCTAACACTGAGTATATTATGTTTCACCCACCATATACTTTCTCTCCAAAATTTAATTAATGTGTTTTAGAGGGGTCATAAGGTCTGTTAGAAGAGCCTACTGGAAAAAAAAAATGGTACCGAAGAATAATATAATCATTCTTAATTCTTTCATGTAAAGAAATTATTCTTTTTTTTTTTTTTTTTTTCTCTTGTGACTGTAGCAAGAAAAAACATAGTTGGAAAGTTTTTATTAAAATCTATTTGCTTTTTGATACTTGTATAATTCCTTCCCTACTTCCTTCCTTCTTTCCTTTTTCCCTACACTTGTGTTTCCTACATTGCTTGACAGTTCCTAAACAGTAAATCTAAACTTTCCAAAATGAGAACCACCTATTTGGAGAGGTTGCCAAACTTAATGCTGTCAGCAGATTACTATCAGTATTAATCTCCTATTGATAATAATCTACTATTGACAACGTCAGATGTTATAGATGAGAAAAATCTGCTGAGTCTCCTTTTCCATCTCCATGTCACAATACGTATTTGTTTAATCACTTGCCTTTTAATTAAGTTGAAGTGTGGCATTTTAATTTATATATCAACTATAGTTCCTACGGTGAAGCTGGAGATCATAATTATTTCCTACAATTGCAGAGGAAAAGATTCAGTTAGAATTATATTTAGTTCAGATTTTAAGTGTTTTGCAGGTTTATTTAATATGTTGCTACTTTGCAGTAAGATAATATATGTTAAATTACCATGCCTAACTTGTAGCAGAAGATGGTGTGGAGGTGGATCTCCTGTTTCATTGTTGACAGCAAGTCCTGGCTTTGACCCCAACTTCTCTACAGCAGTTAAAGTGGTAGCAGAAGCACTGGCCTAAGTGCAAGCATGGGACTGTATGCACTAGTACTAGCACTAGACGGGTTGGAAATAGAGAAGGGTGTTTTGGGAAGGACCAGTGCGAATCTACAGGGTTGTATTCCTTCTCTTCTGCAGCTCCTTGAAGAGCAGCAGAACTAAAACTGTATTTTAGAGCAACATTTCTCTAAACATTTCCAGACTCCAAAATCCAAGTCTCTCTCAGGCAGGAGAGAATTTCCAAATTCTGGCTGAATTAGATTGTGCCTTGGCTTTTAACTTGGGTTTGGGCATTTTTATATTCACTGCCAGCTAAACTAGACTCAGCGGGTGCAATTTGGTTGCCTGAACAAAGGCACGGAGTGGCAACTGAGGTACTCTAAAGTAACCATCACAGCCAAGCAGGACAATCCAGTGGTGCTGCCAGGCTGATAAAAACACAGTGCCATGCTTGAAGACCATGTGGAGGGGTGTACCTTGGGCATATAAAACAGCCCTACCTGCCTTTTTTTAGGCAAGTGGATCAAGCCTTCCATTTGGAGTTCAATCTCACCTCTCCTGATGTTCTCTGGTTGAGTCAAATCCTGTGTAACAAAGATGTGACTCGCAATCCCTCTAATCAGTGCCACATCTTCTAGCCATGGTAAATTTGACCCTCTGTCCAAAATGAAATAATTCCCTCAGACCTACCTGTGGGATTAGTTGCAATGCCAGCAGCCTTGAAACTGCCATTGACACCTCAGAGTAACTGGCTCCAGTGACTGCCTTAATTCTTGGTATGTAGTCTGAATAGTTACACTTGAACTCTACAATATCCTTAGAAGAATTGAATTTAGACAGGAACCTCAGAGTAGATGCCATGGCTTTTGTAACTTCTGCACAGGTGTCATAGATTTCATAGCCCAGAGTAACTCCAGATAATAATGTCGAATTGTTGATCATTTCAATAGCATGTATCATTGCAAGTGTCTGAAGAAAAACTTGAATTTCGAAGCTGTCAGGAAACACACAAGTTTCATTTTAGAAAAACATTTCTAGGATTAAGGCTGAAGCACAGTTTGTTTGTGTGTTTGTTTGTTTGTTTGTTTTTTGAGCATATCCTTTAGAATTTGACAGTTATTGAAAGAAAATTACATTTAATGAAATTTGCTTGGGTTTAGTGTACAAAACAAACAAACAAACAAACAAGCGAACAAAAAAACACAAATCATATATTTTGTCTCACCTAAATAGAAGAACAAGCAAAGTCAAAAAAACACTTCAACTATGCTTGAATAAAAATGCTTTTCTGAAAAATTGGTGCTAAAACCATTTTTTTTTTACAGTATATGAAAATTTGCAAGTGATATCAACAAGTATATGTCAAAGCCAGTGGGGCTGTTGCAATTTGTTCCATGACCCAGCAAGCATATTTTTAAAAAATGAATTTATTTTCAACAAAAGCTTGAAGCAAAGAGATGACTAAATATTTCAGAACAGAAGAAGAAATTTCAGAGGTTGATGTCTTCCAGTGATTGCATAAACATTCCTAAATCCTCTGTAAACCTGACAAATTTAGTACAGCTTTTGTCCTTCCTGCTAGTGGACATGATAACACTTTCTTAATCGGAAATGTGCTACAACAGGCTGCCTGCAGTGCAACCAATGGTCATCTCAGGTTAGGGTTTCTGAAGTTACAAATCTTACAAACCAAAATAAATTTCAAATGGTCTTGAGACGACTTAAGACTTATTTTGATGTACATTCTAAAGCTGAACTCGCACATGACATGGTGTCTGTGTTTCCTATCCCGTAACATAATGTCATAATTTTAGTACAAGATGTAATAACTACAGTGATTACAACAATTACAATCTAGTCAGCAAAGTGCTATCACAGATTATAAGTGATCTGCCCTGTGGGGTGAGTGACATACTTCTACATGTGCTTAGATAAAATAGAGAAGACTGCTTGTGATCGAACTAGCTGGTTTCAACTTCATAACAAATAATGAACTGCACAGCAGACTAGTTTAGACATATAGCCAAAAATTGGTATTTACAGGGCAATTAAATGATTGTTCAGCACAAACCTCAAAGGTTATTTGATTAAATATGAAGACTGAAATACGATCAAATAATCATTCCCTTCATCAGACAGCCATAATATTTTCTACTGTAATTTTCCCATTCTTTGTCATTGTGTTACATAATTATTGATTTATTTGATGTCTAAGGTCTTCTTAAAGACTGAGAAATGCAAGAGAAACAGATTTTGTTGATCTTAATATGAGAAGCGTAAGCCAGATGCCAGTGATCTCTTCTGTAATGTACGTAATTTTCATGTTACTCACCCAGCACAGTTCTGAATGACTGGCTTGATGGGATGCTCTTCTGGATGCAGCATTTCACTGTGAACTGCAAACAAGCCTCCTATAACAATGTCTCCTGGAGAACTGGCACCCACAAAGTCATCTGTATTCTGGCAAGAGGAGGCGATGTCAGCGCTGATCACAAAGCAGACGATCAGAAAGCTAAATATTGCCATGTTTCTAGTTCGCTTGTTCACTACCAGCTTTAAGTCCATTAAGCTAACCACAGTGCCAACAAGTGTTCCTATGTCATCTATAAACAGCAGCGAAAGGAAAAGTCTGTGCTCAAAAGTTAGTCACACCTCATAAGGTGCTTGTATTTGCTTGACTGACTTAGGCTATTTTGCTGTCACAGAAAGCGTGAGGGTGCAGGGGCGTGAGAGTAAAAGAGGGAGGGAAAAAAAATAAATGAGTTCAGGAGGAAGTGCTAAATGTTAATCTGTTCTGCCGTGTCCAAAGATTATTGGACTTACATGTAATCTGAAAAACGCAGAAAATATTTTGGTATAAATTTGGGCTTGTCTTGAACGCTTTCCAGCTGAGTGCAGGGCAATGAGTCATGACATAACATGGCAGTGATATTACTGTGATTAAGTCTAGTCCAAAGAGTACTGCAAAAAAAGACCCTCTCACCACAGTGGGCTTTAGATCAGACTGTGGTCTAAAAACAAGCAAACAGGAAAAATTAAAAAAAATAAAAATAAAAATCTACCTTTCTCTTTTTTCAACCAATTTTATTTTATTTGTACAAAAATGGTTTGGAAAAGCTTATCTTCATGGTTCTGATGCACATGCAGCTTTCTGTGACTTCAGCAATCTTTGGATCAGGTTCTGTATTATAAACCAGACTATGAAAGGGGGGAAGCACACTTTCTTCCCCCTCTGTCTGAGGACACCAGTATATGTAAGCAGCTCCTGTAGCAGGGAGGATCAGCTGCAACCCTTCTCAGTGCCATCATTCCACTCAGATCTGCAGGAATTCCACTTGCAGAATAGGATTCTGTGCCAGGAAGGAACTGAAGAGAAGCAGGGGCTGGACATTCAACTTTCATAGACTCCAACCGCAGACATCAAAATGAACCTCTTTAGGACAGAAACATTACTGATGCTGCTAAACAATACCAATTTATGTAAGAGACACAGATTTGACAATAACTCTTTTACTGATACTGGCTTTTCTATTTACGTATAATGGCTTCTTCATATTTTGCTTCTTTTGGCAGCATGCCAAAACAGTGTCAAAGGAATGGGGTCAGTCATAGTACTGATTGTCTCTGACTGTATTATAAGAAAGCTGGCCTGTACCTAGAAATTTTGAATCAAGCTTTGTTTTCTTGCAAGCAAAACAGAGAAATGGGATATCTGTTACATATTCTTTCTGATAAACACGATGCATACTATATAACTGATTTGGATTACTATATTATGCCTTGTTTCTCAGTAGTCTCTTTGTAATTACAGTACCCATTTACAACAGAGATACTACTTGCAAATGCAAATGATAATCCCCAGTTAAGTCACCATTCAGCATCTTTTTTTTTTTTTATCATATAAAATCTTATGTTTCTTTCATCTGCCTTCTTTCTTTCTGTGTGATATTCTCACTGCTGGTTCAGGGCAAACAGATGCTTGCATTTTTCTTAATGTGTCTAATGACATGTGTTTATGAGGAGATTAGTATAGCAGTTTATTCTGCTTCTGTACTGACTTGTAAAAATTCCATTTATTCCAATATTATTCCTCTTGATTTATAGCAGCATAAGTACAATATTCTGATTCTGACCTTGACTTATGAGATCCACTTGCAAATATTCATGTACCTATTTCTCTCCACCCAAGTAATTCTCACTCAAGCCTTGCTCCATATACTCAGGTGTTTCATTTTCCCTGACTTTGCATAAAACTTCCTCTAAACTTTCTGCCAAATAATACCTAATGTAGTTAAAGCTTGGGATCAGAACTAATCATTTTGTTAAGCAAGCTACGAGAAATATTAAGGTATATGCCTCTAGTATAAAGTAAAGCATTTGAGGAGCTAAGTATTGCATTAAAGATTCAATCGAAATACAGTACTGATAATTGAAACTTTACACTTATTATAATCTATGATATGAAGCAGTAAATAAACTCTACTCTGCCCAGTCCCTAGAAAGCTATTAATTTGTATAGAGGAGGATTTTACCTAGAAACAAAAATCATTACTTGGTCATTCTGGAAAGCAGAAGTTGACAAAATAAACATTACATATAGTTGGTGCCTAATTTCATGTTATGTATAAAAACACAATGAAATGAGGAGTGCTTTAAATTCAACTACATTGGGTTTGTGTCACAGTGTAACATATTTTCACAGGGAGGCGTTTTTTTTATTATTTATTTTTTTATTGTTATTGCTTGTTTTCAAGAACTACATCTCACAATTGTTTGTAGTGAGAAGTACTTCAAAACACTATTGAGATAGGTAAGCCTAATCAGGTACTGCAGATTTAACAGGAAGTGTTTGCAAATACTTTTTTTCTATGATTCTTAACTACCAATAGAAATAAGTGTATAATACAAAATGTTATTCACCTAAAATTTAATTATAAAATTTAATTATTATTTAAAATTATTATTATAGCGTCAGTAGAATTTCACAGTTGTCTGCATAGGAGTATTTCTTTGGAAAAATATAAGAGGATGTGATACCTCCACAAGTCTAACGCAAAATGGCAAGTAGAATCAGTTGTAAGATTCAGGGGAATTCTTGATGTATCATCATGTCTAAGAAGCAGCCTTTAATGAACCATGGAAAAGCAGAAAAAAAATAAATAAATACCAAACCCAAAGATGTAATGAGAGTCACAGTTGAATTCTACGAGCCTTTAAAGGAACTGGTGGCATACAGAAATACTCTGTTAGGGTCATTGTATGTCCCAAAATTACCTGCTACCATGCTAGAATGACTGCTTCTTCCACCTGGTCTTTGGCTTCCCTTGGAGAAGGACCAGAATAGATGGTTTTGAAGAGAGCCCTGCCAAGTTCAGCATTGATCCAGCAGGTGACTTCTTGTGAATTTACGGTTAACAATTTTTTTTTGCAACAGTGCCACACCTTTGGCAAAGGCTTCACAATCCAGGATGTGCAAGAGAAGCCAGAGGGCTATCATTTGTAAGGAAGCTAATGCTGACATGAGTTAAGGGGAACCACCTCTTCTCACATTGCTCCCATGGAAATTATGAGCCACAAAATGAGGAAGCTAAGCCACAGTTTTAAAGCCCTGAACTGAGTAGCTTGTCCCCAGTTCTACCACTAACTTGTGTCTGATCTGCACAGACTTCCAACATAACTTCCCAACCCAAGCCTGTCATTTACAGTCAGGTTTCTGAAAACCTCCATCACTCTCTCAAACGAATTAGTACTGAAATGCCTTGAAACTCTAGAATTAACCTTCTATTGATGTATATCTTATCTGTAAAATGATAAACAATATTGCCTTTCCATTTAGATCATAAGCCCCATAGAATAACTACTCTCCTAAAGTTATGGTGAGCCCCCAGGTAAAGTGGGGTATTTTGATACAAGTAAGAAATAACATAATGATAAGGCAGGACAAAACCAGCTAAACTAAGCCAAGTCCTTGCACAAATCAGTGCTACATTAGAGGAACATACCTTACACATGCATAAGCCTTAACACCCTAGAGAGCTGTTCTGTACCAATGCCGGTGACTGCTGCCATCTCCCACCTACCCAAGAGATGACATGGCATCCCTTTGCTTTGGCCAACAAGACAATCCTTGGCTTGCCTTTGTTTGGGTGCAGTAAGCAGCATGCATGTAAGACTCAGATGTGGCCCACAGCTCCCTCACAGTCTTGCTGAAGCCCATGGGAGCTGCTGTGCTTCACAACTATAAATGAAAGGCTGGTTGAAGGCCAACATACTGATGAAAAAAACAGAGTCAGCGTGGAGCTCAGTATGTATTGACTATGAGTACTTAGGTACTCTTCAAAAACCTGAAATGCCAAGAAAAATAGTGTGGAACAGTTCTCCAAAATCACCACTAAAAAAAAAAAAAAAATTTCAACTGAAAACAACATTTGTTTCCTGCAGGGAAGCCATTACAAATGAGTGCATAACACCTTCCAGGCTACCAAGAAGGTATTGTCCCTTGCGAAATCATTTTGTTTTCCATGCAATCACTTTAAGGAGATGTTATCTTTCAGTACCGTGGTCTGCATCTATATTAATAAAGACAGGAGAGAGCAGTGAAGTCAAAATATCACAAGGAGACAATATTGGTTGGGATTGCCAGCTTTCTAGACTAATAGAGCTGCTGTATTTAACCCAAAGATTTTATAGTACACAGTTTTTGTGAAGAAAGTTTACACAATGGAGCAGAAATAGAGGCAGGTATTGCATTACTTCATTTTTATTATCTTTAAAAAAATATCTACTAACTGAGAACTCTCTAAGCTTAATATCAGATAATAAAATTAAATAATAGAAAGGAAAATATCCATTATTTTTATTTGTATCCAATTAAAAAATGTTTATTTATAAACATTACAAAAAAAAAATCAACAATGAAATGGAACTTGGATGAAAGCCAAGTAACATTAATTCCTGAGAAACAAACTAACTCAATTTTCAAGTTCACTGGGTTTGTCCTCTGGAGCATGTCAGCTGAGCTGCATGATGGAGAGGACAAATCCTTTTTTTCTTATTCACCAGGTTTAATTTTTCTCCTTTGCTCCATCTCCTCTTGTCTTAATTGGAAAACAAGTGAGTAAAAATGTCATTCACCTATTGACAATGTAAATATTTGGGCCCAACCTGTAGTACAAGGGCCATCCAGAGGGAAAGAAAGCCTCTAGCCTAGATATTTGGGCTTTCTCCCGAAAGGCTGGAGGCCTGAGGGGCAGCCCTTCTGTCAATGACAGCTTGCTGTTGGACAGTGAGACCTTTGCTACTTAAAGAAGGGGTCTGAGATCTCTTGGTCCCAGTGCCCCATACTCATTGAAATGCCACTGAGGACTTTTTTGATAAAATCCTGGTAGCCTGATAATCAGGCACCCTCCTCAGACAGTCATTATGTTCAGAAATTCCTTGGTGTGTACTGCTTGTAGTGCCTTGTGTATTATTCATATTCTAGTAATTCCCACATGCAAGAAAGTCAGGCTGGGAGTCATTTCACATGAAAATATCAGTAGCAATGTAGGTATGAAGTTGATGCTGATTCTCTCAGTGTTATTAGTAATGAACAAACCTTAAAATAGAAAATAAGGCTTTTAGTTTTTGAGTGTTAAAATATAAGTGGTTATGATTTTTAGATATCTTAAAATGAATTGGGGGATCTGAGGGTCTTAG